ATATTTTTTATAGTGGTAAATATTAATCAGAGAAACTCTTATTAAAATTCTTCATTACCATATTATTTCACGATTACTATGATTTTTCAAGGTAAATTATAATAGAAAATTCTCTCCATGTAAGAATAATTGAGAAATAATAATAAAATCTTCTTTAAATTAATTAAAAAATTGAAGATTTGTAAATTCCACCACAGAATAAATGAAAGAACATTTGAATTAAATTAGTTTCTAGATAATTGAAACTAATTTTGTTGAATTTTGTTTGCAACTCTTTTATTTTCTGATTATTAACTTACGGTAAATTATGTGCTTGAGATGTGAAATTGAAATAATCCTTGCGTTTTCAAATTTTTTTAATAACGACAAAAATATTAATTATATTTCAGTAGTATATTTCATATATAATTATAATATCAAATATTATTGGATGTCCTTCTTAAGATTCTTCAGTCAATTTTGAAGTCAATTTTTCTTTAGCAAAAAATTAAAGAAAGATACTACAATCTGTCAATTATTTAATACATTAAAATTGAATTATTAAATTTTTAAAAATTACACTCAAAATTATATTAAAAATATGTTTAAAGCACACTCCATCTCTCTGAAATCAATCGAAGAATATAATTTTATTTGTTTATAATAATAATATAAATATATATATGATATTTAAAATCGGCCAATAGATCGAAGAATATAATTTTATTTGTTTATAATAATAATATAAATATTGAGAGCCGATAAAAATATATTTCTTATCTAATTTTATTTGTTTAATTCATGAAAAGCCTTTAAGTAAAGGCTTTTCATAAATTAAATATTTAATATTTTTAAAGCAAACTCTATATATCTGAAATTAATCAAAGAATATAATTTTACTTGTTTAATTCATGAAAAGCCTTTACTTAAAGGCTTTCTCGTGAAGAATATAATTTTATTTATTTAATTCACGAAAAGCCCTTACTTAAGGGAGCTGGAATTCGCTTAAAAAATATTTTTAATATCATTATGAGTGTAATTTTTCCAAAATTTAATTTCAAATTTAATTCAATTTTAACGTATTATACAATTAACAGGTTCTAGTATTTTTTTTTTTTTTCACTTTACTCGTGCTTCTCAAGGTTTTCCGAAAGAAAACTCGACTCCAAATTGCTCTTTTGGGATACTCTGTACATATCCTCTTTCCTAGACCGCCAAAGTTTCCTCGAAGCCACTTAGGGTCGACGCAATCTCAACTTCCTCGTAATGAATCGTGAAAGCAGTCACCTAGGCTCATGTTCGTTTCTTCTGAATCCCGCAAGCTTCCGTCGTCGAACACGAGAATGTGCCCCACTATCGTCACTTGCGCCTTATATGCTCGCCTTGCGTTCATTCCTTCTCCTCTCCAGAAGGAGAAGGAGACTGTTTCGCTTCCTCCAGCTCGCGGTATCGCTTTCCCGCGAACTTCAATGACAATCAGTGCCGTTCCGTCGACGCTGACGCGTCGTCGCTCCACGTGTCATCGGAGTAAATAATCGGAGCAAAGTCATTCAGGATAATCAGTGCTAGAGGAAACAAAGTGCAAATTGTTCGAGGTGAACGAAATTACACGCGCGAACGATGTAGTTCGTCTCTCGATTCGAAATGTTCGATTTTTCACTTTAATTTAATTTTATTTTTTATTAGAATTTGATAGCGACGTGTTTCGTGACACAGATGACGAAGAGACGATAATAACCTCGGGAAACACATGAGTATACATACATAATTGGCGCGACTGGCTGCATTCGCGAAGAGATAAATTTGCAGAGAGATTGAGTGCTTGATAAACTTTGCGTTTCTTATCGGCGCCAGTCTTTATTAACGCGATGTCGCGGTTTGCTGTGAATTCATTTGTCGTTCTTTTTTTTCTCAAGTAGAAATACAAGTAGAAATTAATTTTAAATCGTTTGACAGAACTGACACTTGAAAAATTATTTTTTATTAATATAATAATAATAATAATATTTTTTTTATACAGTTACACCAATTTTGTATATACGTTCGAGGCGAAATTACGGAGAGGAGAGAAAAAAAGAGGCAGAAATCGAGAAAATCCTCCGCTCTCGTCGGCGGGTTTCTTCTGTCGCGTTGTGGACTTTCTCCGCATTTTTGCTGACCGAAACTCGCCGAACTCGGTCTGAAACTCGCGCGCTCGCCTCTCTCGCGGAGTTCAACGTTCCTGAAATAGTGGGTGTGTCGTGTGCGCCTTTTCGAATCTCTCGCGATGGAGACTACGCGATGCGTTTACGTGTCCGAGGACGAGAATCTGTACCAGGTGTACAATCGCGACAAGGCAACCAGTAACCTCGTTACTCTCGGTGATTACACATTTCTTTGCTTATTTCAATTTTATTCGACGAACTAAACTGCGCCGAGAGAATTTTTTCTCTTTGAATTTACCCTGAAAATCATGGTAATCGTGGGACAGTATTGGAAGAATTTTAAGAATTTTTATTTACCATAATAAAACGTAAAATATATTCGATTAATCTTATACGTTATATGATTATTTTGTTATATGTATACATATTTTATTGCGGTAGGTATTAATATTTTTAATTGTGTAAATATTAATGAGAGAAACTCTTATAAAATTCTTTCATGATTTTCAGTGTAAATTCTAAGAGAAACTTCTCTCCATGTGATCGAAACTGCAAACAGATTAATTAGGAAAGTGTAGATATACTTATTACTATTTCTTTTAAAGTTTTTCTCTGGAATTTTTAAAATTTTTCTATAAATGGGAGAAAGAGGGAAAAATATTTGGATAAAAAAATTTTTTCAATTGCATATTCAAAATCAGTTGTAATTGAAATAAAAAAAATAATACGAATCTGCAATGAAAAGATTCGCATTTTGTTTTTCAATCTATGCGTTGTAATTGACTTGTCGTGTTTGCACGACAATAAAAACTCGCTTTGTTATGCCAGTCTTCTGGCTGGCAGCAGTAAATATTTGCTTCCAACTCTTCTTATTCTAATCTATTCTTTTCCCTTTTATTCTCTTCTCCATATTTGTTACCAGGTGTAACAGTTATAAATAAAATATATAATTTTTTTTCATAAAAATGTGCATATATCTATAAGGTTTTGCATATAGATATATGCACATTTGCATTTAGCGTTTTTATCTCCTGGATTTGTCATTCCTTTTTTTTACGCGTGACATATATTTATATTTGCATTTGACTTTCTTAATATTGCGCATTTAATCTCGCGACTAAATGGAGAGAGATTCCCCTCAACATTTCGAATGAAATAAATAAATGTGCCGTGACAATCAAGGCAAGTCAAGGACGCAACGGCGAAGTTACGGGTATGCGTCATCGTTAAACAATGTCGTGACATTTTCTTTTTTACATGCGCCAGCTCGAAATTAGATAAGTGAGTTCTCGATTGGACCAATAACCGACATATCGAGCTTCACTTTTGCGGAACTTGCAAATACTTCAAAAATTATTACATTTTTTATGTCACTCACAATATATTTAAGTATTAATTAAGTACGCAATATATTATATATAAAATATTAATTAAATACTCAATATATTTAAATAAAATAAAAATAATTAAAAAAATTAACATAAATTAATTTATGTTAATTTTTTAAATTATTTTTATTTATATTTATATTTATATTATTTATATTATTTATATTTATATTATTTTATTATTTTTATTTATATTTATATTTTTATTTTTATTTATATTTATATTTATTTTTATTTTCATAATTATGAAATATCTTGTAAACTGTCTTGATTTTTAATTCTTTTATTCCGTTAAAAAAATGGAATAGGTGTTAAGATATCATAAAAAAGTGTATGCTATAAGAAATGTTTTTCTTTTGTATTATGTTTTCTTGTTGAAACTATTGGTGAAAATATTGTTAGATCATATAAATTGAGTCCTCTAATCTGTATATATTATAAATTCAAGTTCGCGAAATAATGAATGGAGATAATAAGATATATTTTTTTCTACATATATTTATCTTTTGTGTACGATAGCGCGGAGGTGGAAATCAGGCGAATATTTCTGTCTGTTTATTTCCGTTATAGATAGATAAAAAGAAACATGATACAGAATGCTTCTGAAATGGAGATAGCTCGATAAATTTAGGGATGAGATAGTGTGTTTCAGCCGCGATTTTTTTTTTAGGAAAATGCGATTTCACGAAAAATTGAATTTCTCATAATTTTTACAATATTTTTATTTGGACTTAGCAACAATTTTTTTCAGAAAAAAATTTTTCGCAAAAATCGAATTCCTCATAATTTTTAAAATATATTTAATTGGACTCAGCCACAATTTTTTTCAGGAAAATTGCGATTTCGCGAAAAATCGAATTCCTCGTAATTTTTACAATATATTTAACAGGACTCAGTCACAATTTTTTTCAGGAAAATTGCGATTTCGCGAAAAATCACATTTCTCATAATTTTTAAAATATATTTAATAGGACTCAGCCACAATTTTTTTCAGGAAAATTGCGATTTCGCGAAAAATCGAATTGCTCATAATTTTTAAAATATATTTAATTGGACTCAGCCACAATTTTTTTTCAGGAAAAATGCGATTTTTGCGAAAAATCGAATTTCTCATAATTTTTACAATATATTTAATTGGACTCAGCCACAATTTTTTTCAGGAAAATTGCGATTTCGCGAAAAATCGCATCCCTCATAATTTTTACAATATATTTAATTATACTCAGTCACAATTTTTTTTTCAGAAAAATTGCGATTTTCGCAAAAAATCGAATTCCTCGTAATTTTTACAATATATTAAATTGGACTCAGCTACATTTTTTTCGGGAAAATTGTGATTTTCGCGAAAAATCGAATTCCTCGTAATTTTTACAATATATTTAATTGGACTCAGCTACAATTTTTTTTCGGGAAAATTGCGATTTTCGCGAAAAATCGAATTTTTCGTAATTTTGATAATATATAAATTGGACTTAAAATCTGCTTTCAGATGCGCTGCTGGCGGACCTGCAGAACACCGTGACGTCGGAGGGAAATCACGGCAATGCGACTCCCGGTTACGGATCGCTCAATGGTGCCCGCACCCACGCGACCACCGTCTACAGGTCTTATGACAATCGGACCTCGCCGCTGCCGCCGCAATCGGTATGTCCATCTCTTTCTCTCTCATCTTAATTGGAGCACTAATAGATTCTGTGTAGAAGAGACCGCGCCTATTCGTTCCATATACGACGAATTTAAATGCAACCGAGAATTATATACATACCTACCTCGCGATTTTGTCGCTACAATTAGTACGTCGATCTGTATATAACTTTTCATTTTAATTAGGGATTGATGAAGCCGCTCCTTTTTTAGCGCGTTCGACAAGTATATAATCGGCGAAATTTGTAATATTTAAATGATTGATTTTATATTTTTATATATTATAATTAATTTAAATATTATGATAATTACATTTAAATGTTATGATAATATTTTAATGATTGATTATACATATTTAAATATTTTAATAATTGCCTATATTAAATATTTAAATTTGCTATTTGATTATATCTGAATGATTAAATTATTACTTCATGTCTAGCCTGTCTTAATTTAATTAGAATATTCAGTATACATAGAGAGAATTTTTTCTTAGAATTTATCCTGAAAATCATGGTAATCGTGGGACAATATGAAAAAATTTTATTAGAGGTTTTCTAATTAATATTTATCATAAATGAAATATATTAATATCCACAATAAGATATAAAATATGTTCGACTCATTTTACTAATATGTAAATGTACAGTACGTATTAATATTTTTTATTGTGGTAAATATTAATCAAAGAAACTCTAAAATTCTTTCAATATTATGATTTTTAGGGTAAATTCTAAGAGAAAGTTCTCTCCGTGTATCTCGCAATTTTAAATCGCTGCAATTAATACATAATTCTCTTAATTTTAATTAGAGATGAAGGCGCTCCTTTTTTGCGCATTTGAAAAGTTATAATCGGCGAAATTTTAAATATTTAAATGATTCATTATATTCAAATATTATGATAACATAATTATATTTAAATATTATAATAATATTTAAATAAGTCACTATATTTAAATATTTAAATTTGCTATTTGATTATATCTTGAAGATTAAATTCTTACTTTGTGTCTTAATTTAATTAGTTACAATTTTTTTCCAGGAAAATTGCGATTTTCGCAAAAAAAATTGCATCCCTCATAATTTTTAAAATATATTTAATATAGGACTCAGCCATTTCCTGAAAAAAAATTGTGGCTGAGTTTAATTAAATATATTTTAAAAATTATGAGGGATGCGATTTTTCGCGAAATCGCAATTTTCCTGAAAAAAATATTTAGTATAGAAGTCTATAGAATTTTAAACATCGCAATTAAATAAAATTCGCGAGATCCATTTGCGGAGGATAAACAAAATTGCGAACACGTGGGACATGTCTCGATGATTTATCGACGAAGTCGAAGAATTCAGCGAGCTTGCTGAAGACGTTACTATAAAGTCGTGGACGTAGTTTACCAGATGGAGCCAAATGCTGGTAGCTCGATAGCAATCGCTGAATTTTCAAACTGTCGCGCTAAATTATGTAGAATTTTACAAAATAGAAACTACGAAACTCGACATGAAGAGTTTAACATATTTTTCAATCCTTTCGATTGAATATATTATATATTATATAAAATAAAAGGAATTCGCGTATATTTTTGCTATAAAAAGAAGATGATCTATTTATTGTGATATATAAACAATACATAATTACTGACAAAGAATCCCATTTTTTTAAAAAAAAGTACTAAAGTATGAAACATGTTTATTATGCTATATATTATCCTTTTTAATAATATATTCGTAATTTTCTCCAATATGTATTTGATTTTGTGTGTAGCAGTCTCTCCCCTCGTTACACAAAATTAACTTTTTGGCAATAACGTCGTTTCCAGTCTACGAAAACGTCTCGAAATAGAGCAATTCGTCGTCATGGTCGCGAAAGCGTGACATAGGGGGAATCCGCAAATAAACCTCTTCGCTGACGGTTAATAACTGTCGATACCGATGCCTTGGCTAGACAAACGTGATCTCTTTTTGACATTTCTCGCTCACATGTTTGTTTTCATTTTCAGGGTCTGAACATCATTAATAAGAACGTTCATGGTCAAAGATATTTTTCCTTGAAATTTTTTAATTCTTACAATTTTTAATCCTAAAAAATATGTATATTATTATCTAAAGAAATATCTACCTAAATTTTTTGTTTTTGTTATCATACTGAATTGAAATATAGAAGAAGCAAATATATTTTAAATACAGATTTACAACTTTTTATTTGAAATTTATGCGACAAATACTTGTGTTGCTTTAATTTATATTTTATTTATTTTATTTATATTTAATTTATATTTTATTTTATTTATATTTATTTATATTATATTTAATATAGACGCGAATAATTTATTTTTAATTAAATTTAAATTTTAAAATTCTTAAAATTTTTAATCCTAAAAAATATATTTATCTAAAGAAATATCTATATAATTTTTTTATTTTTGTTATCATACACATTCTGTTAAAAATCATATTACTTAAATCTAGAAGAAACAAATATATATTTTTAAAATATATTTTTAAAATTAAATAGATGAGATTTCCAACTTTTTATTTTAAATTTATACGACAAATATTTGTGTTGCTTTAATTTATATTGTTTTGGAAACTCGTTCATATATATATCGTGACTTTACGGAACTAAATAATAATTTAATAGACGCGAATGGTTCGAAATATCTTTGGAACATAAATTAACCACGCTCTTAAATTTGTTTACACGCATAGTTATCTGTTACAACCGTGAAAATAGAATGTTACGGAACAGATCGAACGAATAATCTGCTTCCGTTGTAAAAACTAAGTCTCGCGACGATTTGTAGTTTTCCTGCGACAAACTCGATGTTTTTCGCGTTAATTATCGATTGTTTTGAAAAAATTTTCCAGAATCATAAAACACGATTGGAAATAACTGTGACGCAATAGTGCTAAAATTAGAATCAATATCGTGTCTAAAATTGACGCTCGAGAGAAGCATCACTACGAGGCGCATGTAACATCGAACAGTTTGTGGCAGATAGAATATTAGTCGGAAGAGAGGCTCGAATTACTCTCGTATTTTTCATTTTTTACTCTGGATAAAGAAACAGCGCGAAAACGTGCGCAACACATTGACTATTCCATTTTTTCATATCTTAGCGCGTGCATATCAAATTGACATTTTTATTATCCTAAGTATATAGTGATAAAAATAGTCAAATAAAATATATATTTTATTCACGATTATAATATTTTTATTTGATATTTTATAATATTAAATAATATTAATTTAATATTTTTTTATTTCTAGTAATTTTGCTTACATTATAATAAATTAATTTATTATCTATTTAATTATGATTTATTTATATTAATATTATTATTATTTAATTATATAATATTTGATTTTATATTTTATTCGATAGTGTACATTTGTTACAAATTTAACAGCTAATTAATCAGTGATTATTGTGTGATAAATCAATGTGTCAAGAACTACGTATACAAAAATTAGAACCAACCCTTTGTAATGATATTAGTCAATAGAAAAAATAGATCATACAATATACGAATAACTTAGAGAAATTAGGTCTTAATTAATTAATTGAAAACAATTTACAAAATGAGGAATTAAATTTTTATGTCATACGCGTTCAAATAATTTTTTCTGATTTAGAATCACACGTGCTGTTTAAATAGAATTCTTAATCTGTCGAATTAAATAAATATCGATTATTTTAAAAGTCGTTTACTAAAAAAAATTTATGCACGCAAGGTTACAAGTAAAAAATTAAAATCCGCTTTGTGTAGCGATAAAAGTTTGTCGCATAAATTTACAATAAAAAGTAATGAATCTGTATTTAATTGAAAAATAGATTTGCTTCTAAAAATATATTTCAGTAATATATATACATATATATTTTTTTTTAAACAGGATGTGTGTTACAAAAAAACGAAAGATTTAGATACCTCTTTATAGAAATATACCTATTTTTAGCATTAAAAATTCCAAGAATTTTAAAATTTAAATAATCATATTCATATCTGAAAGGAATATTTTCCACACTAAAACTTTACAATAAAAAGTAATGAATCTGTATTTAATTTAAAAAATATATTTTAGTAATATACATATATATATTTTTTTTCAAATAGGATGTGTGTTACAAAAAAAACGAAAGATTTAGATACCTCTTTATAGAAATATACATATTTTTAGCATTAAAAATTTCAAGAATTTTAAAATTTAAATAATCATATTCATGTCTGAAAGGAATATTTTCCACTAAAACTTTACAATAAAAAGTAATCTGTATTTATTTTAAAAATATATTTAAAAAATATATTTCAGTAATATACATACATATATATATTTTTTTTTCAAATAGGATGTGTGTTACAAAAAAACGAAAGATTTAGATACCTCTTTATAGAAATATACATATTTTTAGCATTAAAAATTTCAAGAATTTTAAAATTTAAATAATCATATTCATGTCTGAAAGGAATATTTTCCACGAGTCGTATAAAAGAGAATAGTGCAGGGAAAAATGTTGCGTTTCCACGACCGCGTATATATATCGAGTTTTCCACGACGGGACACCTGTTACGTTCCCTGCCGATTCTATCGATCCTCCCTCGGCCTAGGACAGCTCCGGTCTCTATTATTCATGCTCGTCGACTAGAGTTACACTCTGGCCGCAAAATACGCGGTCGAGCCAACTGCACCATTCGCCATCGCGCCAATCACGTCAAATCGTAATTTTTTTTAAAGCGCCTTCGTTCACCTTCAGTCCGATAATATCGTCGAGTTGCAACATTATGTATTTATACATTCAAAAATGCACGCGGATAAAATCTTTTTAATAGCTGTATTCCTGTAAGACATGTAAACATATTTTCGCTGCGAGCGTTTCGTGTCCTTCTGAAAGTGGAATTCTAAGAGGCGAGTCGATTTCAATGTATTTTGTATCGAAAATCGCGCGGATGATACAAGTATTCACATTCAATCGTGTTATAATTTTTTTAGTATCTCTTATCTTCAATTAAAAAAAAAATAAATAAAATTATCTTATTATTTTCAGTCGAAAAATAGGTGAAAAATTAAATTTTTTGGTGATGTTTGAATGAGAGAAAAATTACGAATATATATTAAAATATATGTTTGAATTTATGAATAATCTATATCTACAAAACAAACAAGTTTTAATGCGAAAAAATATATAATGAACTAAATGGGAACTAAAATGATTATTAAAAATAATATATTTGATGAAAACGATATATTCGTTTTCTTTTGATATCTAGTTCGAATAGTGTCATTTACCTGGAACAAAGGAGAACGTTCTATGTCAGGTGAATGAACTTCTTAAGTCTAACAATAAGTAAAGTCCAGATAGTCATGCTATCGAATATCAAATACGACAGTTGTTTCTATATTTATTTGCATTATTCAGATAATGATCAAAAGTATTCAGACTATAAAAATAATTCTCAAACGATCAAGTTTTATAAACGTAATTAAATTCACAAAAAAAATGAAGACTCCCTTTTTATTAAGAAGTTAATTTTTATTTGTATTTATATAATTTATATTTAAACATACTGCATGTTTTTCGAACAAATTTTATTATTATAACAATTTATATTTATTATAATATTAATATCCATTTTCTGATACGTTTATCATATTGTGTCAAATTCAATTTTGAGAAACTATCGATTGTTCACGAATCGACGAGCTTCGAAATTTAAGATTGAAATTGACAATAGCTACGTTTCTTAAACCGCACCTGTATATATCGTTTTTGTTATTCTTCTCGGAACGTGCCGTTGTGACATTGATCTGTCGTCACGTTTCTGCTGCAGTCGTCATTCTCGGATACGGATCGAGAACGTGCGAAGCGATCTAGATTCGCGACTAAGTCCGAGACCTATTTTCTCGAACACCAACTAGGCGAAAATGAAGTTAACGAGCTCGTTTCGTGATAAAAATATCTTATATACTTATTTAAGTACATAGTATTTAAACGTACAAAATTTACTTTAAACAAACAATTATTTTAAATAATAGCACAAAAAATTATTGAATTTTTATTCTTCGACATTTTATTTGAAGTACATAATTGATAATTGAATCTCTCTTAAATTCTATCGATTTTTGATTATAATTCTTCACACGTGTAAATGAATTTATAATTTGAATTTATAGAAATTCATATTTGAATTTTAGCGACAACTTGTATCGCGCTTAAAGTCAATTGTAAATTTTGTTATTTTGACGTTGTCTCTTTGATGTTGTTTAAAATGGCTGTCACAATTTTAAGTAACATCTTATACGAGAGTACGAGACACGGGTTATGAGACACACGTCGACAAGAGCGATAATGTTTCTCACCGGATCACCGCCAAGAATGCAAAATCTCTGTCGAAGGTCAGATGTTAAAAGCTTTTCCTTTCCTTTGATGCGCGAATTTAGCCCGTGTAAACGGTTGCGCGTGTATGATTCCAGACGTTCGCATTGCAGTTGCAAATGTGCAGCCCGTTGCGTAAATTCGGTGAAATGCTGAAACAACGCGAGCACACACTGTAAAAAAATATGTCATATATTACACAAAAATATGTAAAATTATATAAATAATATAGGTGTAAAATTACACGATAAATAATGGAAATGTTTATTTTTTTATTATTTATCATGTAATTTTACATTTATTATTTATGCAATTTTATACATTTTTTAAAATATAATTTTACATATTTTTTTACAATCCATGCTGTAAACAAATGTAAAGTATTGCATAAAAATATGTAAAATTACATAAATAATAAGTGTAAAAATATACGATATAAAATGTATACATTTTTGTTATATATCGCGCTATTTTACACTTAATATTTATGTAATTTTACATATTATTATGTAATACTTACATTTTTTTTTACAGTACACGTTGGCACGACGGATTGAACTCTTCATATACTGGACATATAACGTGTCCTGGATACACAGTGTCCTAAATATCTTATTATATCTCATCTTACTTCGGGAAAGATTTTACGAACAATTTAATATTGTTGCGATAATAATGAATATTCATTATTTAATACGATAATTTTTTTGAAACTGCCTTGACAGGAGACACTAACGTAAAATATAATATTTATTATAATATATTATATAAGTGAAATAAATATACATAATTTCTTAATTTTATTTTATTTACACGCATAGAAAAAAGATTATATGTAAATAAAAAATAAATCATTAATTATTAAAAAGTGAATTTGTTCACTAACTTATGAAAATAATTTTTTTTATTATATTCGAAGAGAGATTATTTAAAACAAAAATTTTAAAACAAAAGAACTTTCGTGTTTTTCTGAAATAATCTATTTTTGTTTGAAAATATAATTATTGCGTGACATGAAATAAAAATACTTAAATATGAAAAATAAAGATAATTTTTTCGCACATAAAATTTAATTCTTTTACATGCATATGGTGAAATTATCACACAATTTTTCTAGAACTACTTTGAACATTCTTTGTAATATTACACTTATCTGATTTTGTCCTTTTATATTATAAAATTATTTCACAAAAATTAACAGTGTTTCTCGAAAAAATTCTAGCTTTTACAATATTATTAAATAATGAAGTCGAGATTTTCTAAATAGCTTTAAATTATTTTATATACATATAATACTTCTACCAATTAAAAAATATTGAATATTGAAGACTGATAAATTGTATAAAGAGCGAAGCATATAATAGTTCTTCATTAAAAATTTTCATTAAGAATACATCGACTGCAATATTTGTTTCACCGAATATTTGACAATTGTCAAATTAATCTGCTAAAAGCCATTTAATTATGACAGTTGCAAGGAAATCGCGTAAAAAATACGGATACTTCTTTACATTAATAGTGATGTCGTCGTCGAAACTTTCCGCACCGATATGTCTTGATGATATGTTTCTGCTAGTTCTCCACAGATATTTTTAGGCTGACAACTCAGCGTAACCCAATTTCCATCCAGCAGAATGCGCCGTAATACTGCTTTATTGCAAAAAAATAGTATCGCGTAGCAATCTGGCCTCTCTTGTGTTTTTTTTTCAAAAATTCCACTAGCAACTTGTCTGTTATATTTTTTGGTTTTATATTTGCAAAATTATCATTTTGAATGTATCAACATTGCAGTTTTTAAAAGTATGCTAAAAATATAAATACATACTTACAAAGATGCATAAATGTATAATGTGTAACTTTAAATATATATATATATATATATATATTATTATATATTAATTAAATATATATGTATATTATATATTATATAATTATATATTATAATAATATTAATAGACATATATTATATATATATATATATATATATATAAATATACATATATATTATAAAACTGCATTAAAAAATCTATAATGTGTAACTTTAAATATATATATATATATATATAAGTTACAGTTTATAGAGTTTTTAATGCAGTTTTATAAGTATATGTATTTATATTTTTAGTATATTTGTAAAAACTGTTGATGAAAAGAATATTTTAATTTATATATATATATATATGTGTATATAAATTAAAATAGTCTTCTTATTCTATGTATATATAAATTAATATATATAAAATAACATCTATTAGCGTTCTCCAATTAAAATTGCGAAAAGAATAGCGACAGTGGTGCATTGTTTTCATATGACATTATTTGAAACGGATCAATTGCGTTACACCTTTCGTTTCACATCCTCTTCAAAGTCGTAAAATCTCTAATTTATGATTATGGTTCCTTCTCACATTTGGCCATCAATTAGCGTGACGTCAAGTATTAAATTTAATTTTGGTAAACAAGTTAAAACGACCTCGTGCGTGTCACCGATTTCGTAATTGCAGTAGCTTTGCTTCAGTTGTCAAAATGTTGTATCTCTTCAAATTGTGACTTTAACTCGAATAGATAAACATTAGGCATATATATATATATATATACATATATATTAAAACTAATTATACATATAATATATATAATTTTTTATTTATATATATATATATATATATATAATTTTTTATAAATTAGCTTTTATTTTATTTTTATAAATTATACAATTATTACAAATTTGTCAAAAATTGTCCAACAATAAGTGCAATAAATAATCCAATTGTCGATGTCTATCAATTTTATCGATCTGCAGAGATAAACGATATATTTATTGTGTGGTATACTATTTATTATTGATTATATTTATCGAGGTTTAAACAGAAAAGCCGAAATGATTGCGATCTTTTTTTGGAACATTTTAAAAAGCGATCTAAGATTGACTATATCGAAACCGAAAAGACCACATCATCCTCCTCGAATGACGACGTTCCATATGCATAATGATTCTAGTGACATCATGTTTCTAAATAATAATGCAATTCACGCAAACTTGGCAGACCGTCGCTTTTTGTCGATTAACAAGCCAAGTGCATCTGGCGGAACATAAAAAATCATGCAGCTGCGTCGACATTTTCGTTCAATTCATTCATCCTCAGAATTAAAAGTGCTATTAATTTTTCTAACTGCTTTCGGCATTTTACTATCAAAATAATATAACTTATGTTATATTATTTTATAGCCAGATCAAATATTAAAGAAGCATCTGCTATTAAACTTGATACATCGAACATCATGAAAAAGCAGAATTATAAATAAAATAATTAAATTATAAATAAAATAATTTAATAAATAAAATTCAAATTTTACATACGTGATGAAAAATAATGAAGACATAGATAAGAATGTTGAATAGATGAGATAAAAAAATGATTAATAATGATTGCATTAAAATTCATTCGACGCAAAAAATTGACAGAGAAACCGATGCCTTTGACGATGAGTATATCTATTTCATGAAGAAGTTTTTGAAGCTGTTTTATCGCAATTTTGCCCGCATGTTGTAGCCGACTTACCAGAACCGCGAGGCGATAGAGGAAACCATCGGTAAAACCGGAAGTGCGTCTTACACCCAGTCGGGCGCCGGAAGCAAGATGCCCTCCCTCAATAACAATCTTTCCGAGTTGGATACTCTCCTGCAAGACCTGAGCAATGCGCGCTATAATGCCCACTTTCAGGAAAGAGGTTGGCTTCTTATCTAAATTCTTAAATTTTCCAAAATTTTATCAATAAATCCTTCACCAATTTTTCAAAGACGCGAAAGATATTCTTTACGATATGATATATATTTCGATAAATTTTTCATTTAATCTATCTGATGAAAAATATCGAATGTAATAGATAAAATATTCGCTGAGCAACAATTCACGATAATATCATCTATAAGAGAGTAACAATAATAGTATATTGTGTATCAAGTGCGGAAAGTTGACAATTGGTCACGAGCCGAAGGCGAGTGCGACCACCCCACACGAGTGAACAATTGTCAATCCGCACGTGATACACATACTATTTTGTATTACAAGTGCAGGCAAAGTGGCTTTGTGCGCGTTTTCTGTGCGCCATCTTGCGGCGTGGGAAATCGGCCGCTTTCCGCACAGAAAACACGCACACAAAGTGCCACTTTGCCTGCACGTGTAATACAAATATATTTTGAGACACTTTAATTTTTTTTAATATATAGAATTAATTTAAAATGTCACCGAACAATTTTCGGGATGATTTCTGGCAGGAGCAAATTTTGTATCCAACAAATGGCTTGATGATTATAGACAGTCGCGTGTCCACAACGGGGGTGAACGGGGGCACCAGCCCCCATCTCCGTTCCCCGAGTAGTATGTCGGCCTCTCGACCCACCGTCGACTCGTTGCTAGAAGAATTAAGCACCGCAGTGCCTAATGGGTGAGCTTTCTCATTGTGTGTGCAAATTAATCCTACACAGAGAGAATTTTCTCTTAGAATTTACCCTGAAAATCGTGGTAATCGTAAAGGACAATACATTGGAAGAATTTTATGTTTCTTTAATTAAAAAATATTTATCACAAATGAAAAACATCTACCACAATAAGATATAAGATGTTTGATTAATTTTACTATGTATGTATGTATAGATATTAATTTACTTAATATTAATTTATATTAATATCTTTTATTGTGGTCAATATTCATTTTTAACATTAATTTTAATATTTACTACAAATAAAAAATCTTAATATTTACCACAATAAGATATAAAATATTTGATTAATTTTACTATGAACATAGTAAATTTTATTAAATATTAATTAGAGAAATGTTAAAAATTACTATTGACTACAATGAAAAATATTAATATGTACATAATAAAATTTGCTATACATATTATTATTTATTGTAATAAATATTATTCAAAGAAGCTCTTAAAATTTCCACGATTTTCAGGATAATTTCTAAGAGAAAATTCTCTCTGCAAAAACAGCGTAAGCAGCCTGCTTTTAAAAACGAAAAATTCTCGAATAATTTCATGCGGGATTGTCGGCTAATTTCTCATATCATAAAAAAATCGTAGAATTTGATACCGGATTATCTCGGTAATAACTCGCGTTCGGTGTAAAACTGTTGTCCCTCGAGCAGAGACTACCCCGCTGACGGAAAGGTGAGGGTCACCATACAGGAGACGTCCACGGAGATACAGCCGGTCTATGACGGCTATCCCTCAAGTCAGCATGGCTCGCTGAGTCGAACCGAGGTTCAGAGGAGTTTTCCTAATGGTCATACCGCGAGTAATGCTACCAAGGAGCTGGATGATCTAATGGCTTCGCTTTCCGAATTCAAGGTACATAACTTAACCATATAATGCTATACAGAATGATCTTTTCGGAGCGGTAGCAAATTAATGAATAATTATTGAATATTTAAAATATATGATTGAAGTATTAATGAGAGAAATATTTTGAGAAATTATATATCATAATATTTTTTAAAAATGCCGTTCCTAAAAGGTTGAATAACTCTTTCGGTATTGTCAAAAACTTCAAAGAGTTTGTTATTAGAAGAAAAATTGAATGAAGTATTTTTTTTAGCTTAATCCAGTACCGAAAGAGTTAGTGCACATCTCATCTTTCGTTGCTTCTCGTCTGCATTGTGTATATAACCGGTTAACTGAAAGTAACATTCAATCAATTTGCAAACATTTCAGAAGATTGATCTATCTCGTGTAATATTTGAATAAATCTAAGTTAAATTTAAATCAAAGAAGATTAAAATAATTCAAATCCATTTTTAAATTAAAGAAGATTAAATTGATTTAAAATTCAATTTTTTAAGAAATTAATAAAATTTCATCAAACTTTTGACAGGACGATGGTTAGATGGCTACAAATATTTTTTTGTCTGAAAAGTTCACTTTTCGCATTTTAAAAATCTTTTCTCAAGATTTAAGAAACGTTTTACAAACAATGTTTCGATTGTCCCTCTAGAGTCCTGCGGGACAAACCGTCCCCATCCTGTATAGGGATCTACATATAGTTATCAACGAAACAGATACAGACCGATCCCTGACTCTGTCACCGCTTTGATTTACCACGGAATCGGAAAACACCGGGACGTTAAATCCACTCCTGCCCATTCTTGGCTCCCCACGTTACGAAAATAACCAACCTCACCACCGTCGCGCTGATCTCGCCCCTTCCTTGTCTTGTTCTCCGCGTCACCGATTTTCCACAGCCGCGGGAGAAGGGAGAACTGCGAAGAGACGAAGTCTACAAAGAGGTGGGGTGTCCACGACGACGTCCACTCGCCGAAACACCCGGAGCTTTCGGCCAGTCTGCAAGCTCGCCCGCGGCGATCGACATCTCCTTCGCTTCTTATCTACCATCACCATCCGTGGGTCTTCGTTCCATTTCATTCAACATCTCGCGAACTCGTACCTTGACACCCTGCCCGACTTGACACTTCTGTCCCTTTACCTTTCGCGACGTTCAACCTTGAACCATCTTTTCGCGCCCTGACACACCTGTCTTGTCTACACGAGCAGATACAGACGCACGTGACACGAACTGACAGAATTACGCGGGAAACTGTCATTGTTGTTCAGAATGTAATCCGGCTTTCCGAGAAATTGGTCTTGAAAACTGAGAAAATTTTCCTCCGATAATCCAAAATAATAGATATCGTTTTTTTCAGAGAAGCGCTAAAGAATACTGTTTCCTTATCTACAAGGCAAATTAGTTTCTCGGATAGAGACTTAACATCTGGATTTTACGATCCGTGTGTCATTGCAGATCAACAGCGGCACCCATCAGCACCAGACAGTAACCGACTCCCCGTACGCGAAGCCCAACAAGGCCACCAAAAGCTCGCAGAGCCCACTGCCCGTCGGCGAGGGCACGCAGACCCGCGTCCACATCACCGAGACCCACACGACTCATCTCTATCAACCGGGAGAGAGCCAGCCCCTCAAACAGAACCAGTTGGATTCTATGCTCGGTAATCTTCAGGCCGACATGAGCCGCCAGGGTGTCAACACTACTCAGAAGGGATGCTGCAGCGCCTGCGAGAAGCCGATCGTGGGCCAGGTAGTCATCAGCTTACATCGTCAGCTGCACCGTATCTGAATCTTGAAAGTCGATCCCGGGTACTCCTCTCATTCTGTCTCTGACTTGATAACGTTGTTATTATGCAGGTGATAACAGCCTTGGGAAAGACGTGGCATCCGGAACACTTTACGTGTACCCACTGCAATCAGGAGTTAGGCACGCGAAACTTCTTCGAGAGGGAGGGCCATCCTTACTGCGAGACGGACTATCACAATTTGTTCTCGCCCCGTTGCGCTTACTGCAACGGGCCCATTCTCGATGTAAGGAACTTAGAATCGTTCTAGGAGCTTTCTCGAGGGAAAGAGTAGAAGTCGTAATGGTGGATTCTATAGTTACGGCCGTTTTCAGGGAGAGGAAGAGTAATAAAGAGGACTTAGCGCTTAGATATAAATCCTTGTCCCTTAACATATCCTCGAATTTAATTTTCCATCTTGAGATGAATAAATTTGAACTCGATCCAAAACTCGTTTATATGAACTCAAAATATCAGTTATTAATACTGAAAAAAAAAACTAAAAAATTTCATTCAATTAATTTATCAACTTGAAACTTTAATTGAATGGAGTCCCTTTTTCTAGATAATGCAAAGAGAGAAAGGAGAAAATCAATTATTAATCATTGTCTAAATGAGAGCAAATTTACACTAAAACGGTCGACAATCCATACTTGACGATATATACTTTCTTTCTCGAGTCCTCCAAATATTTCGAAATCATCGCGCAAATTCGCGGTTCAAAAATAAGGTTTCTTCCAGAAATGCGTGACCGCCCTGGAGAAGACCTGGCACACCGAACATTTCTTCTGCGCTCAGTGCGGCAAGCAGTTCGGCGAAGAGGGCTTCCACGAGCGAGACGGCAAGCCTTACTGCCGCGAGGACTACTTTGACATGTTTGCGCCTAAGTGCGGCGGCTGTAATCGCGCTATTATGGAGAATTACATATCTGCGCTCAACAGTCAGTGGCATCCGGATTGTTTCGTCTGCAGGGTAGGTATCGCGTTTGCACGACTAAGTCGATCTCAATCAAAAATTTTATTTTCAGTGCAAATTTTACAAGAGTTCATCAGCGTTTTCGCGAAAAATTGCAGGAAAAAAAGAACCTAAAAAAAAAAAACACAATACTAAACTCTGACAATTACAGGATTGCAAGAATCCGGTCTCTGGAAAGTCCTTCTATGCGATGGAAGGACAACCGGTGTGTCCCAAGTGCGTCGGGGTGGACGACGACGAGGAAGAAGAAGAGCAGGAGGCGTAAAAAAAGTCCCGTCGTCGTCGTCGTCGTCGTCGTTTATTGTCGTCGTTTTATCAATTCCTCATGTCGAAGTCCCCGAATTTCTTTGTCGTCCAGCCACCCTACGATATACGTCGCCCCTTATATGCCCTCCGGCTCCATGAATGCGGAGCCGAACACCCCGCTGATCCTTCGACAGGTGATTTAGCGCTGGCGCTGAAGGAAAAACCGGGAAACGAGAAACGCCGATTCCGAGTCTCACCGTCGTCTCGATTCCGCGTCGCAAAATCAACACCTTCATACTCATTGCACACTCTTGCATTATTAGGGGGCATATTTTTGGCGAGTGAAGCTCGAAGTTCAAGATTGCTGCTTTTGTTTTCGATGCGCCTTGACATTGCACCGCAGCCCTTGACAATGGAAAGGAGAATTCGCTGTCGAGCTGCGCAGAGATGCTGTTAGCTTACTATTTGTGAGAAGTAAAGGAAATAAATTTCCCTCACTCGCTCATTCCCACCTTCTCTCCCCCCACCCCACCCCCCCAAAAAGAAAAAAACAACCCCAAAACAAAAAGACACACACGAGAGTCGGCTGTACACGTATACACACAGCTACTCGAAGACGTTGCACGAGGCGCGTCTGGTGGCAACATATGCGAGGAAGAGCCAGGTTGAACGCTGCGACAATATCGCTGATGTATACTTACATTCCTTAAATTATTATAGTAATAACAGACGAATAGGATTGACATTAAAAACTCATAGGAAAAGTAAATTAATTTTGATTTCCCTTAATTAATTTATGTGTGTATATTTATATATAATTATATATATATATATATATATATATACTTAAATTTATTTTTTAATTTATTATTTATTATTTAATTTATTATCTTTAAAAAAATTTTAAATGATTAAATAAAATATGTGATATAAATACAAAATAATTATGCATTTTGTTAGTGTTATGTTCATTAAATTAATTGGAGCAAGTTAGAAAAATATGTAAATTATAAATTCGATTTATTTTTTCGGCTATTTATATAAAGGAAAATGATGAGCAGTTAACGAATACGGTTTTGTTAATATTTCCTTGCCATTAAATTCAAAATAATATTTGTTCCGTCCATAAGACTTATCGATCAATATTAAAGTAGTATAGTCTACTCTGATGTATATGCTACACTATATATAATACATATGTATATATATTATATATGTCTAGTGTATATACTATACTATATAGTATATGTGTATATACATATGTGTGTGTATATATATGTATATATGTATATGCAAATACGAAATGAATAATTCTGAGTCTCTATCTTTTTCTTGTATAATTTTTGAATATCTACAAATAATATATGTTTTTTAAATTATTATTATTAATAGAGAAAACTCATTATTGTGTTTTATTTTTATTTCATCGAGATATTATGGTTCGATTATTTATTTTTAAAAGTCGGAAAGACTGGTAATTACAGATCGCTTCGTATATGCGTATAAATGATTGATAAAAAAGTGGACGTATATAGACGATACTCGTAAATAAAATTAGATATCATTATCTTTTTTCTTTTAATCTATGATTAGTGCAAAAGGAGATAATTGAAACAATAGTTTATATTAAAATTCAATTAATTTAAACTTCTGAAGCGGAGAAATAATAGAGGAAAAGGGAATTTTTTTAAGATAAATGTTTCGTATTCGAGAAAAAAATTAATTATTAAATAATAAGGAAATTAATGATTAATATTCGACCATACTGGCTCTTATTAATATTATTCTTCTTTATTAGATATGAAGTACACTACATTTCGACCTTAAGTTTAGGTCCTTTTCAAGTGCTAAAATTATAAAAAATCGATAGTTAGCGATGCAAAACTAAAGCTAAATACAAGTCTGTAACTATCGACCTTTTATAATTTTAGCACTTGAAAAGAACCTAAACTTAAGGTCGAAACGTAGTGTACTTCATATCTAATAAAGAAGAATAATATTAATAAGAGTCAGTATGGTCGAATTAATCATTAATTTCCTTATTATTTTTTAAACTCTCTCTGGCGAAGAATACAAATCTATTTTTAATTATTAAAATTAAAAACTGCTGATCCACATAAAAGTGGAAACTTATTTAGCACCAGCTCAATTAAATGTACTCGTATTATATGTATGTATATGTGTGTAATTTGCAGAAGCCGACTCATTGTCAATATATTCATGCATAACTATATTTTTTTCCCATTTTATATAGTCACAGATATCGATATATTTATCTTTCATATAAAAAATAGCGGATTATATTTCCTTTTTCTTCTTAGGCAGTCTTTAGAATTCTATATCGTTAAAACTAAATTTTTTTGTAACGCTAATTTTTCATGCAATATTCTCAAATGCGTTTATTTTGTCGATTTGCAGGATTGCAGACAGAAGTTTCAGGGGGGCTCGTTCTTCGATCACGAGGGATTGCCGTATTGCGAGACACACTACCACGCTAAGAGAGGATCCTTGTGTGCGGGATGTCATAAGCCCATTACCGGTAAATGCAAAATTTTTTTTCAATTTTAAAATTCTCGAATAATTTTCCAATTATCTTATATTCTTTCTTTGTTTTAGGTCGTTGCATAACGGCGATGTTCCGCAAATTCCATCCCGAGCACTTCGTATGCGCGTTTTGCTTGAAGCAGCTGAACAAGGGCACGTTCAAGGAACAAAACGACAAGCCTTACTGCCACGGTTGCTTCGAGAAGCTCTTCGGATAAATGATTTGTCTCTCTTTCTCTTCGAATTATATATTTTGTAACATAATAACGAAACGAGAAGCAGTTTCGCGTTCTCGGTGCCGTTTTATTACTCTCTCTCTTTCTCTCGACGAAATACGTATACGGTATTATATACTTATTTGCTTTGATCGTCTATATAAAAGCGTTAGAGACGAGACTCACATTGCCTGAAAAAAATAGTCTTTTAGAGTTTCCATTTTTTTATAAATATTGATCTTTGAACGATTGAAATTGAAGGAATATTGTGAACAGAGAAATTTTAATTATTGAAGAGAGTACCGCAAAAATAGAAAAATCAGAAGATATCTAGAATCTATTCCCCAGTCACGATTGCCATTTTTAATCAAACTGACGAGTTCAAATTTTAATTTTTTTTTAGAGAAAAAGAAATTAAATTATTAAAGTTGTTATATATATATTGGAAAAAGAGAATATAAGTGGATAAAACCCCACTATTTGTTTAATAACGTAAACAAGAGAAATTTATTTCATAGAGAGATAAATGTGTACTTGATGTTAAAACCTTACGAGGAAATTTTTTTCCGTGAAATGTTCATTAAGAAAAATCGAATTGCCCGAGAATTATTAGATTTAATTCGGACGGAATTTGTTCTATAATTCTATGGAATCTTCGAATCTTTATAGAATTTTACATAACACTAGGTGTGTAACTACACAAGTTTGAGTCCCATCGTGTCATTTAAGGATCAATGAAAAGGAAGGGTGCTAAACAGTTTTTATCGTTACTAATAATTTGTATCGAGGTACTATCTAGTAAATATATGTATACGGTGTACTTGATCGAGCAGGTATTTGTACGACAAGCGGACTTTTGCCACCAAATATTTCCCTGATGAAAGCTCTTCCCATGCACGTGCGTTATAGATTTCGTATATTTATAAATATTTAAATAGAAGCAATATAGGATCAGAGTTTAACGGATATTACCGCGCGAATAGTATTACACAAATTTACTTATACCCCGCTATATACAAGTTTATTTACGCCTGAATCATATTGCCATGTAAAGAAAGAAATAATCAAGGGAATTATACATACGAAGGTAGCATGTGTACGAAGTGAACGAATCGTGTGTAAACGTGACGCTTCAGAGGACAAGGAACGAAAATAAATACATATAATGAGATAGACTATTTTCTTGAAGTTTATTTCATTTCCTGTTACACAACAGAAATCGAACATATATACATTGATAATAATGTCTCAAACATTTGTGTGTGTAAAAAATTTTCTGCTGAAATATATCGAATGCTAAATAGCCTGTAAATATAGGTTTACACACTGCACAACATCGAATAAATTAAGAAAAATCTATTTTCGTAAATATATACAGAAAAAGATATATATGTGTGTATATATATATATATACGGTCTTTTACGATTATCAAGTGGTAAGAATTAATTTTGCGTTATACAACACACTCAATTCGTTACAATAATTGTACATCAATTATGTGTGCTATCATTTTGAATTATGTAAGAGATTGTTGCCAAGAATCATGAAAAGAGAGAGAAAACAAATGTTTGAACAGACTGATTTTGTGTCTGCGGAATTTCATAATGTAAAAAAGATTTTATTAATCATAATTAACGCTGATCAATACAACTGTGCGCCATTTCTTTATTTCTCATAGACATTAAGAGAGAAATTTATTATATATTATATTAATTTCTATTTACAAAATATTTACAAAATGAAGGTTTCTTCTTCGGCATCTCTTTTATTTAAAGTGCTTATTATGAAACTAAATCGATCGACATAAATAACAAGTCAAAGCTTCTTAGTTTTTATTCAAATGGATTTGTTCAGCGTATTATAATGCTTTCTAAGAATGAAACTTTCTCTCTCTCCCCTTTCTCTTCTGTAAGTGCAAGTGTGTCAACCTCGCGATACCCTGCTTCTAAATCTCCCCGTATCACAGACGTAACGATCCGCCTCGGTGCGGCGCGCGACAGCCCGCCTCCGCGAGAACTGTCAGGCCAGCATGGGGAAGAGCTCGGTGAAGCTCTCGTGCCAGGGATCGGACAGAGCGTTGTTGGACAGACGTGGATCCGGGGAATCGTGCGACTCGTAACCGCCATCCGACAGATTGGCGGCGTAGTCCAGCTTCGCCGAGGAGATGCCGCAGCTGTCCGCGTCCGAGTGAACGTCGCTCATCGCGGGTGACATCGTGTCGGTGTAGGCCGGTGAGAATTGCGCCTGATAGCCGAGATGAGTGTTCAACGGGGGAACGACGAGGTGTGTCGCGACGTCGTTCTCTGTGCTGATGACCTCCTGCACGCACTCCTGGATGCCCACGCAGCCTTCGCTCTCCTCGCCCGGGTAGATGATCGTGATGGAATTGGTGGTCTCGTTGTAGGTGCCGTAGAGGGTGTGCTCGATGTCTGGTGCTGATTCCGATTCCTGTTTGATTTCGACCTCAGTCTTGATCGGTGCTGTGCTCTCTGCGTCACGGATCACGGATTCCCAATCAGACGTATCTGGTAGGTAGGAGACGGCGCTTATGCCTTCGCAGACTCGATCGGCTTCCACATCTTCTGATGCCTGCCCCACCATTGTTTCCGAACGGTCAGATTTTTTAAGAGGATCTTCTGCGATGTATAACTGCGGAACGGAGCGCAATCGACAAGTTATTAATAATGGGACAACGACTGAATCATCAGAAAGAACGTGATTGCAGAGTAAATGAATGAAAGATTTCGAATTTTCTCCGAGGATTCAAATTCTATTAATATTTCGTTTTATTTTATTCATCTCTGTACATTATGGCTAAATGAAATAGGATTAGTTTGTGTGTCGATATATAACATTTAAAGTTTCAAAAAACGCGTGCAATTTGTAAACTTGGAATTTCTTCTACCTCGGAGTATTTCATTCATCTCTGCATCACATTTAAATTATTAACAAATAATTAAATTAAGAAAATATAAAAAATCTTGACATCCATTTTTTTGTCAATATTTAAATATGTAGTGTTCAAAATTATCTGAGGGAAAAATCAAAATAAATAAAAACTAACGACTTAATCAAAGAATTACAAATTGTAAATTTAAATGATTCTAAGAGAATAAGCAATGTGTGGCTGCTTATTGACAATGTGCTTTAAACAAAGATAATAAAAGATGAATGTGAAGTAAAATGCACCTATACAGTGATTTCCAAAACTCACTTGCTCATCTGTTCTATGAGGTTTTGCTTCCCCTCCGATGTTAGCTTCTTGCATAAGGCTTGCGACCAGCTCTTCGAGTCGCTCGACGCATTTTTCGTCTGTAAGCAGTTCCTCGAGAGAAGGTAGAGACATAGGATCTTCAACAGGACGGTTGCTCTTGGGGTTAGCGTCGGGCACGATGCCGGCTGTGCTGGTCCACCCTGCGGCAGAGGGTAATTAGGCGATACTGCTGATCCCGGCAAAGGTCCAGCGCAGCCGACACGTGCCTGACACTCGGAGCAATACTGTTGTTGCTGATCTCCGCTTGTGTCCCTCATGTCCCTTTCTCTCCTGAGCCTCCTGGACTCGCTCATCAACGACTCGTTCTGCGATCTCAACACCCTGCATTCCTGCTCGAGCTGTTCATTCCTATCCTTCAGCGTTTTCACCGTCTCCTCGAGTTCATCCAACTTGGCCTTCTTGCGGTCCCGCGAAGTCTGAGCCGCTACGCGGTTCTTTAGTTTTCTGCCGGACGAAAAATAAATATTTAAAAATATGTTGCGTAATTACCTCTAATATATATATATATATATATATATATATATATATATATATATATATATATATATTATTTTTTTTTATTTAATTTTTTTATGAATAATAAACCCGTAAATTATTTACACGAATTTTGCGGGAACAAAATTGAAAAAATAAATTTTGTGCATCCTTTTTTTACTTAATTTTATTTAGAAAATTGTAATGAAACTATAAATATTAGATTGTAAAATACTTGGAAGAATTGACGTTTCCTCGCATTAAATTTTATTTCTCGCTACACGATAATGTAATATAATTTCTCGTTATATTGATACTTTTTCGATCAATATATTCTCTGTGTATTAGTGATAAGGAAAAATAGTCGTTGCTGCGTGACGCAATCGCGGGATAAAATTTATGGTTGTATTGTACTAACTTATTATTCTCAAACCGATAATTAATTACACGCGTATATATTTCGCAGCAACCACATTGACATAATTTGCATTTACGCCAGGCATAAGGCGAATACATTGTTAACATGCGAAAAAAATATTTTGCAAATAATTTTTCTCCAATCGCAGGAAATATATATATATACTTCACGTATTTTCTTAATCTTATCGTTTTGTGCCTACATTTTAATTTTAAATCTATAGATAATTTTCGAGGAATAATCTATTTGCTCGATAAATAAGATAAGTCTTATCTACAGCTGAGTAAATAAATATTTTATTTGTATGCGTGTATATTGAATGTTAAAATTAAACTCCAATTCTTATCACAAAAAAGTGTAAAAGAGTTAATTAGTGAGTGAAGCAAGATTGATACAATTACGGTAAAAATAAAAATTAATAATGTAAAAAAATGTGAATTCTTTATGTAATCATCTTTACATTGTCATATCTAACAGCCTGCTTTCTTTATCGTAAACCGCCCTATATATATTATGATGATCTCTTTATCGTAAACCGCCCTATATATTATGATTATGGATGCAACGTCATTAAATATAGATCAGTAAATAAAAAATTTTACTCTAAAGAATTTTTTTTTAAGAGAGCAATTCGAGAAATTAAAGATTTAAAAAATTTGATTCTCCGATATTTTTCATTTATATATTTTTTAAATTTATATATGTATATATAATATAAATATATAGTGTATATTAAATAGATGTTAATTGAAAGCTACAGAATCATGAAAATTGTTACTATATCATTATGAATAATTATTCGGAGATGAATCAAGCTACAAAAACGCGCGTCAAGAGAGGAAGAGATAAAATGAGATAAAAGAGATCAGTGAAACGAACAGATGACGTTACATTATGGAATTTGTACAGAAACAGTTGCATCAGATGACAGATTTTCCCTTACTTTCTTTGCATCTTCTCCTCCCACGTTAAATGATCCAATCGACGCTTTTTGCTGCGCGTGCATCCGTCTGTGTTTGTAATGAAAGTTGCGAAGTCATCGTCCGTGCGCATCTCTTCCTGTTTAGAAGACACCTGAAGAACCTTCCTCGCGTCCATCCTCGCTTTGTTATCTGTCAGAATCGACGCGCTGAAGTTCAGCCTGGACAATCCGCTGCGCGTCAGCTCGTTCACTTGAATCGTCTTCGAACTACCGCCCTTAGGCAAGGCGATGATGACACTCTTCGGGGAACTCATAATCCGCCATGCGACGACGCGAATCCTTCTCTCTTTCTCTTGTTCCTGGTGGTGAAACTCCGATGGAATTCCCGCGAATTTATTGTACAATAAAGTATGACGTAATGGCATACGCTCCTTCAAGTATCCTACACCACCGTTCGACGTCGACTGACAGTTCTTCGCATAATCGCGCGAACAAATAAATACACCTTCCACCTCGCCGGCTGACGCAACACTGACACGAGATCGCGCCGACCGCACGACGACGCGCGGAAACTCGCGCTTCGTCGGTCGCGCTCGGCTACCTTCGGCAGCGAACGTGGAGCGCTGCGATTAGTCGGACGCGAGCCAATCAGCGATGGTCTATCGCGATCTATCGCGGTCACAGCTAGGTACGCGCCACATACAATGTTAGGCGCGTCATTGCATGACGCTTTCCTCTATGTATGTAAATGAAAACCGCGGATTCTCAAACCACGGAATCTATTCGAGAATCGCGGAGTTATTTATTACTAAAAAAAAGAGACGCTCGCGTTAATTTTAATAACTGAGCGAAACGCTAAAGTGAAATATGTTTAAAAAATGATTTCGATAAATCTTTCGATAATCGATTCGTTAAGTTTTTTTATGAATACGATATCCCGAGTTTGAGTATCCCTGCCTTTTATATGGACTGTTTTTTCCTTTAACGGCATATCTGACTGTACACTCACTTCCTCCTATTGCTTCTAGGTTGCATCAGAATTGTTCTGACGCATTCAAGATGACTAACTATATGATAATATGATTCTATTCATGTTAAAATCAAGACGTAAACATGCAAGAGGACTAATTAAATATGACGAGAAAGAGAAAATATGAATTAAATAATATAATATATAATATTTTTAAATGCAATTATTTTTGTTAACTTAAAGTACTTTGCAACATAAAAATATTTTTCAAAAAATTGAATTTTTCAATTTTAATTATCTGATGACACTAATTGCTAAATATATTCGATCGATTTACTGCGCATTTTCAAATTAAAAATATATTTTCGATGACCTAAATATAAGTTGGATTGAAAATGCGCAGTAAAAATACATTTCCTAATCTATCACAGTATAATTTGCTAATTTTTAAAAATATATGCAGTTGAAATTATAAAGACTTCAAATTAGACTCGCAATTAGAATTCTTGGAAGAGAAGAATATAACCCACTTTTAATTAATTAGAAACATCATTTATTTATCTCTTATCATATCCATAATCATGTCCATATTATACCAGCGATCCATTCAACACTGTTACAATGTGATTAGACTTGTGTGTGTAATTTATGTTAAAGTATTAAAATAATATAATTACATAATAAAAAAAATATGTATATTTATTTTCATATAATAATAGTCGCAGCGGTAATAATCGCGGCGATAAATATAATATAATGTAGTTTTAATTGGTTGTATGCATCGGGAAATTATACAGTACAGTAGCAACAACCGATAACCTCTGGTTTAATAGAAACTACAATAACAGTAACAACAATCATGACGACGACAAGAAGCATGTCGACGTCATTATTAAACCATAGTCGTTGCTGAGAAAACAGCAACAGCTTGTCATGCTGAGTCAATTTTGAGTAATCAGGATGAAAAATCTGATAATCGATATCAATATATATGTTGTTTTATTATTATTTCATTGGCAAAATATTCGAAGCAAAATTTAAAGAAATCTATGCAAAAAGTAAAAAAAAAACTGCTGTATAAAAATGCTTTTATAATTTTAACAGATTGTGTTAAAAATAAAGATAATGTTGGAAAGTTCTTTCTTCTTTTAGCTACTACATTTTTTCATCTTGAAGCGATACAATAGTCGATTATCAGATTTCACATTCGACATCGTTCCATCGTTCTCAACTTAATATTCCTATTAGTCGAATCCTATTATTAGTCGAATTAATGATATACAATTTTGCATGCGCGCGAAAACGCATAAATGCACTTGTTTATATACAACTTTTAGAAAAGATAGGCCGAGCCGCCGAAGGCTACAACATTCTCATTCTTTTTCAATTAAAATTATATAAATTGTTCCGCTAATTTGATTTTTAAAAGTTGGAATATATTTTTATTATTACTCTATGGATCCATGAACACATTAAAGTGCAATCATCATCATCATTATTATTATTATTAGATCATATCTTAAATATCACATTACTTCTTCCTTGATAATCAATTATGCATGTAATATTATAAATCGTACTTTTTTATTGCATCGGAAGATCCTATTTTAACACCCTCTCTCTCTTTCTCTATTAAGAAATGTAAATCTTTTGTTATATTAAGAGTTTATTTTATAAAGTCATCTCAGCTTGTTTTACAACACATGAAATAAAAATAATATATTTTCAAATATCTGTCATCTATAGATGTATATTTTTTAAAAGATATATAGAAAAAAAGATATATTTTTAAAAAGATATATTTATATATCTTTATATATCTTTATATATATATATCTGCATGTTAGAATATCATCTTTCAGAACGCAAATTTAATTTGTAAAAATGGTGTCCTTTCAGACAATATTTATTTTTTATTTATATATTTTAATATAATATACGCAGTTAAAAAGATTTTGAGTACATTTTGATGTAAGGAACACATGATTGGAACAAAGTTAAGATGTGTGCGTGAACAAGAACTTCACTTTCTTATAAAAAACGATATAGCCTTCGACTCGACTCGATTCGAGTAAGATATGGTTCGCATTTCTACAATGAAGCGTCATCTCATCTATCTCGTCAATCTTAATTCGCTATTTTCGCAGTTCGGGCGTATTAATTCTCATACTACATATATAATTCGTTTCACACTAATTCGTGAAAGTTTATTGGCATACTTGACCAATTGGCACACTTTGCGTTCGCTCATCAATTTCAGAATAGAAGAATGTTAAACGAACATCGAACAATCAAACGTTAAAGTGACGCGAATCGATGGCTATTTATAAAGAAATCACATTTTTAAAAAATTGTTCTAAAAATAGCAATTAAATCTGAATCTAAGCTTCATCGAGTCGCATCACCTTTACATATTTGGATACATTTTTCGATATCCGATACGCGAATTACGCTTCGTTCTTCCGATCATCATCCGATGCATAACAAAAGTTAGCGCTATTTACAAGTAAAAATTAAAAGTAGAATTTTTATAAAATTTTCCTACGTATATATGTATCTCAATACATTTCTTAATCCTATCCTAATCTTTCTCCCATTTTTCTACGTTTATATTGGTACATATTGCTTCTCAACTAAAATGGGATTTTGGTTCTAGAATGAAATGAGGACATGTTACGCTTCATAATAACTAATTAATTAGCAGCATTGATCTTCGTTCTTTATAATCGCATTCTACAGCAGAAACATTTTTTCAAATCATTTTTCAGTCTATCAACCGAAGCAGCTTTCGATTTCGAGGCGCGACACGTCCCGCATTTGTAATTAATTACACAAGAAAACTCGATTCTGCAACAAGGACTTAAAAATATCAATTGTAGCAAAATATTATTGTACAGAGGGGACCAAATAAATTCGCCCGCGGCTTTTCGCGAGTGTCGAAAGAATTCAGCTCCCGATCGGAATCCTCCTCCGATGCGCTGAATCATACCAGATTTCGGTCCAGCAGGCCGCCGAGCAGATCCGGGCCGATTTGCAGCAGACTCGCGGCGGATCCGTCGTAGTCGAAGCCGTCGAAGGAGACCATCGCGGACGTCGTGGGCGAGATCGTCGTGGGCGTCGTGGATCCTCCACCGTCGCCGCCGCCTCCGGTGAACGGGCCGATCAGATGTTTCCTGGTGTCCGGACTGAGATGATCCGGCAGGGAGACGATGTTGTCCGCGTTCGCGCACTGCGGTATCAGCTGATTGTCAACGTTCACAGACAACGGCGTCGTCAGGTTCCTCGATAGCACGATTGGCATAACGCGAGAATTCATGAGAGGATCCTGAAAGAGAAAGATTAGCGCTGATTAGAACTGTCATTTTTGACGTTTCCGTTTAGGAAAATTATGGAGGAGAATTATCAAACGGTTGGAGAACCGCGTGGGCTTTTGAGAGATAAAATATTCTCTCCTTTTATATAAGGAATTGATGAAGATAAAATATCTTTTTTGAGAGAATAATTAATAATAATAAATAAAACTATTATAATTAATAATAATAAATAATGATAAATAATAATAAATAATAATACAAAATAAATTAATAATAATAAATAATTAATTTTTAAATATTGGCAAATGAGTTTGTTTCTTGTGGTCGACTTGAGAAAAATATTAAAAAGGATGCTGCGTTTCGCGAGAGGAAATAAAAGATTGAAGGAGGGGGAGGGGGTTGATCACGTGGTTAATAAATCATAACACGCTTTCTCGATAAATCTTTTTTTTCTAGAGAGACATTTTAATCGTTGACGGATGTAAATGAATCGAATGTCAAACAAAGCGATCATAACTATCGCACTGTGCGATCTGTGATGTATATTTGACGTAAATAAGTCTCATATAGATTGCAATAAAAAAGGAGGACGATAGCAACCCCTGAAAATCGCGGTTCTTCGCTCAAACAAACAAAGAATTTAAAAATAAATCATATGCATATCCAAAAATCAATAATTAAATCAACATATCTTTTTAGTTACTTGATAAAAATTATTTTACTTTTCGATGTTGAGTACTTGAATAAGTAAAAAACTAATTAAAATTATGCAAACTTATTCGAGAGAAAGATGTATCTCGAGATAGAGCAGACAAATAAATTAAATTGATATTTTGTTCAAAATATAGCATCTCTCTTTTTATATTTTAGACAAAATATAAATTATACTTCCATATATATATATATATATATCTAAGTAGTATTTTTAAATTCTTTTTTTTTATTTAAAAGATTCTAACTTTAAACTTTTGATTATCGGAAGGATAATCTTAAGGATAGTATAAAATCATATATGTGATCACACATTAGAAGATGGTGATCTTTGACGATTTGATGATAAAATCGCGGAACGACGATGGATGGTTGAGGAAAGACGGTAGGAGGAAACGAAACGCAGCTGATCAGGTGATTCGATGTTCTATGTATTTTCCATAACATTCAACAATTCCATATACTTTGCAATTTGTGTACATAACGTGGCTCTAAAGTACCGCTCGTTTAATCCTAGAATGCACTCCAAAAAATAACTCTTTATATAATATATATATATATATTTATATAAATCTCTAACAAAAAACGCATATACAGTTCTAGAAATATCATAGTAAATATCAACTTACAGGTCTTTCTCTTTCTCTCTCTCTTTCTTTCTCGTCACCTACATTAATTCTTTGTATTTATCTCTAATACGAGAAAAAGCGTAATTATCGTCTAAATTATTTTCTATATATATATATATCTTCCGCATCTAAGATAAACATCGAATGCGCAGTGCATTTTAGGATTAAACGACCGAGCGAAACTACCTCGCTCGCTTATGTCTTCGACTCGCAACAAACTCTGTTTGCACCTCCTTCTTCTCTAAATCTTCAACTTTATACTTTCCCCTCTACTTTGCTATCTTAGACGTGATCTTCGGACTTGCGGACGCAAGCTCGAGAAACAAGCAAACGTATAAAAAGTAGGAAGGACTCCCATCGGTTCGAGATCACGATCAGATACTAACTTGCCGCCTCCTCGCGTCTGGATCTACATTTTTTATCTCGCGAAAATCGATCGCCAGCCCTGCTTTTTGTTGCTTCGAATCGCGCGTGAATTTTATCTATATCGCTTTCCGTGAAAATTAAGTAACCGCGGTTTAATTGACTTTAGACGATGTTTATAACGCGAGATATAATCATGCACCGTGTAACATCGCGGCACGTTTACATTTAATCAAATATCTATCTAGCGAATAAACATACGTCGTAGCCGACCTGACAGAGTCTCATGTGTTTGATCTCAATCTAAATCAAAGTTTTCTCTCGTGATTCGAAGGAACTTTGACATTTCTGTGTTCACGAAGCACAAAGTTTGCAGTTAGAATTACACGATTTTCAAACGCCTTCCAAATCCTAACGCCCAAGTTCTCTCTAAACGGATTCTATTTTGAGCTCCTCGGAGAGACCGCATTTCCGGAATTCCAAATATTTTCGCTATATTATCGAGAGATCACTTTTTCTCGCCTCTGGGAGTATCAACGACGACGAAATGGCAGCTAAAAGGAGGCGGTTCCTCAGACTTTCGTCAGGCTACGTTAGGCCCTTTCACGCGTTCGCGATATTCCTCGCCGTCGGCTTCGGTTTCATCAAGCAAACGTATCCCGCACTCACATCGCAGCCGGAAACCAGGAGATTCATTAGCACGCTGCTGCCACCGCAGGACGGATTCCGATTACGGCTCGTCGCTCCGATCCTACTTAGGCCGTCGCCAACGCAATTTCCGCCTCCTCCCCCGTGATCGCCCTCCGTGCCGACGATGTCGATGATGTCGTTGAGAACGCGGACTCGTTGCTTGGAAGCGTTGTCCCCGCGACGACGTTCACCGCCGCCGTCGATGGACAAGGACGACGTCGTGTGCGACGACACGATGCACGGTATCTGGGGTGATACGAGGCGGCGCAGAAGCTGGCTGTTGCAGGTGTTGTCGAGACCCGATGGCTTTTTGTAGAACGTCGTCGACGGTCGCTGCTTCGTCAACAAGGTGCTGTCAAAATTTACTCGCTCGAAAGGCGAGTTCTCGCACTTGAGACGCTTGTGCTCGTTCTCAGAGTCCGCGTTGAGTCCGGAGTGGATGCGCTTATTATTAGGACGGTCGGTCCGTTCCTGATTGGAGGACCATCGAGCGGACTCGAGGATTGTGTCTATTAAATTAAAGCGAGTCAAAATAAAAGTTTCATTAGATAATAAGAATAAAAAGGCGCGTGCCAGAGAGAGAGAAAGAGATTGAAAATATGCTCGCTCACTTTTCTTAGGTATCTGTCCAAAGAGCGGATTCATCAGACCTCCGCCGTGATCGTTGTATCGCCGCGATACCGCTTGATCGGTTCGCAACAGTTGCGCCAGACTGCTTTCGGATCCTCGCTGCTCTCGATCGTCGAGTAGCCTGTCGGAGAAGAAACAACAATTATGTAAACTCGAAAAAGAAACCGTATTTATTTCGCATCCGATCTGAAGATCTTTCATTTAGTTCCAATTGCGACCTACCACTTTGAAGATCCTTTATCGGAAGACTGAGACCCCCACATGACCATGTCATCACTGATGAGCAGCTCTAACGTCTCGTCCTGATCCGACATCGGAATATAGGGCGCTCTGAGAGCCATCTCGTCGTCTCCTATACTGTCGCTGATACCTAACATAAGCATCTCGTCCTCGGAAAACCCATCCCCGCCGCTACCTCCTGTAGGACTGCCTAACGAGTCCATGCTGCGCTCAGGACTCTGCGAAATAACCATGTTGCGTTTATTAATTACATATAATAACTTTTTTTAATTTTTTATTAATAACATATTATAATACAATTAATAACATATAATAAATATTCGCTTCGTTAATGAAATAAAATGCTTACCGTAACATTATAAGCAAGAAAATAAATATTTATTTTCATTTAATTAATTCAATTCCAACGTGACAAAGGAATCGCTCTTAAAAGAATACAGATCCTCTTTAACTTGTCCAGGATCCAACGATCGCTTACTTGTCGATATTTTGATAAGGACGACGACACGGTGTTCGGATCGATACCGCAAGGACTTCCAGGCGAATCGCCGTACATGAAGGGATCACTATCGGCTAGACGACTGGTCGTGTTCTTGATCTTGGAGGTGGTGCTCAACTTAAAATCTGCTTCTTTAAGAGACTCCGAGAGATCTGTGGACCGCAGTTCCGGCGTCAGGGTGTCACCTGGACTTAGCAGGGGACAACCGTAGTTGTCGTTGCCGAGGATAAACTCTTCTAGCATATCTGACAGAAAGGGAGGGTCCTCGAGAGGCACGCATACGTCGCCGGCCGTGGGCGCGAGGTGTGTCAGGTCCTCCGGCTCGTCCTTCAACACTGAAACACGAAGAGGATCCGACTTAGCAAATGGCACTCTTCCTAATCGTTTATCGCACTCTGGATGATTGAATATTGATAATGAACTATGATGAAATTCAAAGTATTAGTTCTCCTGATCAATTATTTATATTAAATTTCATTTAGCTGAATTAAATCGAGCAATAAAATTCAGTCAAAGATTAAAATTTAAAAAATTGTAACATAATTTGATATCTCTCTCAAATATCTACCAAATCATGCAATGAGCTATTAGAATGATAAATAATTTTCATAGTCATCTCAAGCGTCATATCTACTCTGTTTTTTATAAACATTTGCATTTTCTCCCCTTTCTTCAAAAAAATATTATCCGCGGATGTGTTCGCGATAATTCCCCAATTAATCTCTTTCTAGATCTTCTAAAAAAAATTAAAAAAATTCCTTGGCGAAAAATACGCACTGGTAAGACCCGGCTGATCCTCGCTGAAAGTCAGGAAGCCCTTGTTCATGTCCTCGGTGCGAGGCGCGAAGATACTCGCTGTAGCCGTCTGCGGAGGCGGTCGACACGATAACTGTGACTGTTCCTGCTGCTGCTGTACGAACAGATGTTTGGTGACCGCCTGCGGACGATCACGACGTCCGGCGCTGTCTGAGGAATCGCGCTCCACCGCCGGTTTACCCTGAAACCAAAGATTGTATGATCGATCTAGAGGGGAGGAGGCCAAGGATGCGTTATTATGGCTCGAGATAAGAGCGATAGCCATCCTAGAACTTGCATTGCGCGGCGCTTAATCACGCTTTCAATTGTAATATTTGTATCAACGTCACTTCAGAACTCTCTTTCGGTATTTTTACATAATTTGGAATATTGTTAAATAATTAGATCCTTTTAATAAAAATTGTTCGCCTTTAAAATATTGTTATAAAATATTGTATCAAAATTAAAAATTACTTTAATAATATTTTATTTTTGTTTTTATTAGGAAATTATTAAAATATCGTGCAATAATTGCAAAAAAATTAATAAGACTGAAATGATGTTGGAAGTTTAATTTTGCCTTCTTGTCAATATTGTATCTGATCCAGTAACAAATCTCTTTTTTTTCTCTCATGTGAATTCGGTTACGTCGTTTTTCCAAAATGCGAAAGATTGCAGTGCCGTTTATTTTTACCACTACTTTATCATTCTGAAATGATAAGAGAAGTAAGCAATGGGATTACGGCATCGATAAGCGATGGTGACCCGACAAATTATCGCCAATAAAAAATAATCCAAGATTAGAAGTCAATTTAGAAAAAAAAAATATCTTTTACTTTACCTGAAATAAGAATTGTGATCATATACAATAATTAATCAGAATAATTTTAATTGTATCTATCTTGAGACTAAATAACGTCATTCGATAGTACAGTCTACAAAATTGCAAAGAAATGTTGTTCTTAACAATTTTTCACAACTTTAAGGCTGTTATCATTTTAACAGTCTGCAATTAATTTTATTATTAATAGTTGGGCCAGGTTATTTAATTATTAAGAGTCAGATATTAGGTTCAACAAAATTGTTTTTAAAAGAATTCCTCTATACCTATTTTTGTAATAATTTATTTGATCATAACAAAGTAAGAAAAAGAAATTTAAAAATAATTTTGTTGCACCTAATATCTATCCCTGTGACTCTATCTTTTTATACCCGAATGTGCATTTAATTAAAAATCTAAAGCCGAGACAAAAAAATTCTGAAGAAATTCGTCCGAAACGTCAATCTTACCTCTAATAAAAAGGGTGTCCTGGCGAACGCCGGCCGGCAGCAGTCCGATCGGTCTGCCGCTGCCGGCTCGTCGTTCTCCTTCAGGGAGTCGTCAATCGGCTTCGGGACCTCCTTGGGAACTCGCAGGGACGTCTTCTCCTGGGTCTGCTTGGGCAAGATGTCGTTCCTTCCGTTCGCCGAACGGAAGATCGACGCGGTGACGGCGAGCGGTCGATCGTCGCTCCTGGATTCGTCGTCCTGGACGATCTTCTCGTCGTCGTTCGTCAGCACCGTTTGACAGTCCGAGTCCGACGATCCCTTCGACTTGGCGAGATTGGCGCCGCTGTCACGCGCGGTCAGCTGGCGCACGCTGTACACCTCATTTTCGTGCTCGATCCCACTGTAACCAAAATCACGAGCCGCCGGCGTGGATAACGTGCCCTCGACCTGGGACTGACTCATTAACCCGAAACTTGGAACTTGCTTAGCAACTTGGAAACGGTAAGCAAAGACACGCGGAGATATGGTGAAACTTCAGAACTTGTCAAAGTTGGAAAAAAATATGTATAGAAATATTGAAGAAATTTTTTATAACAAATATTTTAATAAATTTGTTAAATTTTATTGGAAATATATATAATCTTATATACATACAGGGTGTTCTAGAATTATTGTAAAATCTGTTAATGGCAGATTCCTGGTATCATTTAGAGATGATTTTTCCCAATTTTTGCTATCATGTATTTTTTGTAACTAAGCCTTAAATTAAAATTCTATTAAAGTAAACTCTACTTGAGATTTACTAAAGAATGTGGTTTTGTTAATGCTTAATTTACAAAAAAAACCTTTATTTTCAATCACTCATAACTTGAAAATAATTGGTACCTCGACATTTTCGTTGAGAAAAAATCATCTCCAAATGATATCAGGATCCATTCTGCCATAAATAAGTTTTACGATAGTTCTGGAAGACTCTGTATATAATTTAGAAATAATTTTTTTTAGAAGAGAAAACACGAAATATACGCAACACATACAACTTGTATAATAAAAATAAAGAATAAAAAAATAATGAAATAATTACAAATTCGAGAAAAATTATATGAGAAGAGACAGAAAAATTTATACAAATTAAGTCAAGTTTTGAGTTAATTAATCAGAAAAATCGAGCACACGTGTTTAGAAGAAACAATCCTTCTCTTCAATTCAAAATATAGTAGACTACACTGAGAGCATTTTCTCTTTTAGAATTTACCTTGAAAATCATGATAATCGTGGGACAATATGATATTGGACGAATCTTATAAGAGTTTATCTGATCAATATTTACCACAATAAAAAAATATTAATATCTACCTCAACAAAATAGGTAGTAAAATTAATTAAAGATATTTTATATCTCATTGTGGTAGACTTAATATTTTTTATCGTAGTTAATATTAATCAGAGAAAGTCTTAAAAAATTCTTCCTTTATTGTCCCACGATGACCATGATTTTTGGGGTAAAAGTTCTAAGAGAAAATTCTTTCTATGCAAGATAAAGCAAAAAGTAAACGAGACTAGAGCTGAATGAGGATATCGAAACGAGATATCGAACGCACACGAGCTGATAATAATTGTTTATCTCATTATCCTCACCGTTACAATCGTAGAGCTCAAAAAACGTACAACGCCGAGTGCTTAGTTAAAATTCCTTTTATCGACTAGTGTTTCCTTATCTAACGACGTTACATCGAACGATACATCGCGTTACGACACATAGCGCGATATGTAGACCCAGATGTATTTATCACGCGTGCATACGCATGACACGATCCGAAAACTCGCACGACACTCGCCTCACACAAAACGTACCGTACGTACCCACGTGGATGTGTCTATTCTACTTGTCATTCGGCGACGCGTGGGATATGCGTCAGCTGTCACGAGGTGCACGTGACCTAAGAAAATTTTAAACAGACCGTCGAGAGATGATTTGAGCCGGAAAAAACATCTTTCGAAAGCGACGAAACAGCTGACCCAAATATTATGTTTACTAAAATCTAATAATGGTTGTTCTTTTCAAACGATAAATTTATTTTATTATATAGAGATGTGCGTGTATATATATATATATATGTATGGGAATTTCAATGATAAATATGTATCAATGAATTTTCATCATGTGATCAAATCAAGAGGTATATATGATTTTTCAATAATTTTATAAGGCTATATATAAATATCAAATAATGTTATTTTTTAAATTATAAATAATATAATTATTAGTTTATTACACAATTTTTTTTTATAAATTAACCATGACTAGCTAAATAATCATATTAGTTATAACTTGCAATGTAAAGAATAATTCTGATCTCTCCTTTAGTAATTCACTCGTGAAATTTCTTGGGAAATATTTTTCCATTTCGTATATCGATGAAAATTTACGACCCTATATTTCGTAAGCTCTTATACATATCTCATATATATGTTTTTCTTATATATTCAGTTATCTCTTAGCGTCTAAATTTATGCGTATGTCAAAGTATTTATTTCTGTCCTCATGCATAAATATGCATAAGAACAAGGTAAACAAAAAGAAATGTAAATTTATAAAAAATTAATATTTCTTTATACGAGATGCTTACATAGATTTTGAAAAATAATGATTTTCAAGATAAATTGATCAATCACGTTGAAGTCACTAATTTTTTATCATAACATGGAGAGTTATATCATATGCTATTAATCTTCAGATTATAATAGTATTTAAGACTATAAACTTTTGATCATGCAATCGTACACGGAGAGAATTTTCTCTTAGAATTTATCCTGCAAATTATGGTAATCGTGAGACAATATTCGAAGAATTTTATAAGAGTTTCTCTGATTAATATTTTCCACAATAAAAAATATCAATATGTACATATAGTAAATTTTATTATGTATATAGTAAAATTTATCGAACATATTTTACATCTTATTGCGGCAGATATTAATATTAATATTATAAGAAATATTAATATAAATTAATATTAAATTAAATATTAAGTAAATTCACTAGCTAATTGTGCAACAATATGGTATTGAAAGAATTTTATAGTTTCTCTGATTAATATTTTTATGACAATAATAAATTTTACTATGTGTACAAAATTTATCGAACATATTTTATATCTTATTGTAGCAAATATAATATTATTTATTGTCATAAAAATATTATATTAATCAGAGAAACTCTTATAAAATTCTTCCAGTATCATATTGACCCACAATTACCATGATTTTCAGGGTAAATTTTAAGAGAAAATTCTCTCTGTGTAGAAATGTAAAATAATGAACAATCTCGCTTCAAATCATTCATTCGAACTTTTTTCTTTCCCCTTAATTACTGTACACCTACATTCATTGACTTCTATACTTGCACACACGTCACTATTTTTATTTTTACCGCCCTCGTGAGTTCCGAACCATTCAACGTTCACCCGAACTTTCGTACTCTCTGACAATATTCTCGTATATATATCTCTCAATACATTCTACCTCTCTTTCCGCTCATTTGGATCCTCTCATTCTCTTTCTCTTTCAACTCGCGCAAAGCAGAAGCTCGTTGTAATCACGAAGAGCCGCTTATGTAATCAGCTCGTGACCGCCGATCGGCTTTTTCCGCTGCGGCTATTTTTCGCGCTTTGTTTTCGAAATGTTTTTTTTTAAGTATGTCTCATTAATGCATCGTGACGTTTATCTCCTTTCCGACTTAGAGAATTTTTTGAGGAATGATGAAACGATGGTTACGTTAAACTGCTCCGAAAATCTAATTTTAATCTTAGTTAATTTAGGAGATTATTTCATAGATTCATCCTGTAGATAAAGATTCGATAATTGATAAAAACACGCCTCACGAGGTAAAATTAAAAAAAAAACTGTTGTCTTGGACTACAACGATATCGATACGACGATCTCTTACGTCATACGTATTACGTTTATGTATGTATATGTGTATATAAGGATATAATTGTTACTGGAAAGCAGTTGATTCATCAACCTGTGCGAATTTTTTTATAAATAGTATCAATTGTGCTATTTTTAAACATGATTGTGTGACAAGATTATAATATGACATATCATTTGCGCTAACACGCAAGAATTAAAATAAAAAAAAAATATTTTCAATGCGAAAAAAATATTAATAAAAAAATAAAATAAAATAAATTATGAGATGCAATGACATTCTAATTTCTGCAATTTGTACGAGATGTTTCGTAAACAGAAAAAATAAAATTTCTCGGTTTTTATTTTTCATATTTTTCTGTTTCTTGAAGAAAAAAGCTGAAAAATATTTTAGAGTATAATTAATCATTCAATGCCGTGCTTCTTCGGTATTATAAGATTCACGAACTCGCTTACGTAGGCACGATTACGCCCATAGTTTTCTTCGATCACACAGTTAAAGTTAACCTGACCTTAACCCTGAAGATAACCCGAATGTTATATCGGATCGGTCTAAACAACACACAAATGTCTCTCTCGTATGCACTCGTGCACACAACTTTAACTTTTCTAGTACTCGTGACCCTGAAGAGCTTCGAATACTTACAGCAATTCAGCACTTATTTATTAGAAAGAATTATTCGCTTGCTCGAGCAAGTGCTGAATTGCTGTAAATAAATTATGTCTATTAATTTAATTATTTTGCGCACTATAGGGAAAATATAACACAATTATAAGCTTCTATTATAGAAATTTCACCTACACAGAGAGAATTTTCTTTCAGAATTTACCCTGAAAATTATGATAATCGTGGGACGATATGGTAAAATTAGAAGAATTTTATCAGAGATTTTTCTCTGATTAATATTTACCACAATAAAAAATATTAAATATCGACCAAAATAAGATATAAAATATGTTTGATTAATTTTACTATGTACATTATATTACTTACTATATTAATATTTTTTTATTGAGTGCTAAATATTAATCAGAGTCTTATAAAGTCTTATAAAATTCTTCCAATACCATATATGTATTATCCCATGATTTTCAAGATAAATTTTAAGAAAAATTCTCTCCGTGCATTAATATTTGTTTTTGATTAAATAAAAAAAAATTCCTCTCTTTCTCTCTTCTAGTAAGTAAAAACTTAGTATTTGATTTGTATATGTATAAAATTTCAAGTATCATATATATATATATAGAATCGATTAAAGTTTCCTCTACACACGATTAAAATTTCTTTTCTAATTTAATCATTGAAGAGTCATTAAAAAGAGAGGAGCATTCTTAAAAAAAGATGCGTTACGTCAAATTTAATTTACTATTCGCGACGTTGACTCGAGATGTTATTTTCGACGATGTGATCTTATTAATTCACATGTGTAGGATTATATATAGAGAATTTGTTTACGTCTCTTTCCC